AATTGAATTCAATTCTCTTGAATGCAAGGTGAAGAGCCTAACCTTTTAACCACAGATATGCAATTATAGTGTTTTAGTTCAAATTCATCATTGAAAGAATATTCTTATAAAATTATTATCATAATGTAATGTTGACTTATATGGGACTCTTTATGTTGCTGTGTGTTATTTTTAACAAAGAAAGCATGCAGTGTGAGTGACTTTGATAACAAAGACAAAAGAACTTCTCATATCATGTACCTGGTTTTGATCAACTGTCATGACTCATCCTGTTATTTTTTCTGGTGTGTGTAGAGCAAAGAAGCCTTTGATGCTACCTGACTGGCTTACTCCTGATGCCATAATGAAGAGGCAGATGGGAAAATTTGTGAAAGACGGTAAGTTTTCACAATAGCACTTTACATGAATTTCCTATTTAGCTTGGTCATTTCGGAGATGGATGTTAAGGTTAGAGGTCCCACCTCTTAAATGACCTTATAGTGTTTATAGGGGCAGTAACCTATACCATTTCCTCATTTGTGAGGCATCGTGGTGATATCAGACGCTCGTCAAAATAATGAAATCAAAGAAATCTGCAATTTTTTGGATGATGAGCAATTTTTTTCTAATTTTCTTTTTTTGGCCTTACACCTTTTACCTCCATTTAAAAACACATTTCTGTGTGGATTATACTGAAAAACAATGATTAAAGGCAGAAAAAATGTACATTTTCAGTTTTCAAAGACTCTCAGGCTATGGAAGTTACCAAACTTTGGCGGCCTTTTTCTCGCTAATTTTACCTCCTAAACCAGACGACCCTGACCTCCTTCAATAGCAAATATTTCGACTTCTACTCAACATAGATGGTTTTTTTTTTTTCACGAAAAGGTAGACGAATGAACAGGTTTTAAGATGATATCAATAACCCCAAATGCCTAAAAATTGAGGAGCGCCTGATTCCACCACGCTGTGACACATTTTGTCTCCAGACTTGCTGATGGCCGCCATGAGTTCGGACGTGACACGCCTGACGAAAGTCCTGGAGGACATCTCCCTGGCTGGTGTGATGGGCTTTGTGGACGTCGGCTCCTGGCTTCTGGACTCGCTGGTCACTCGGCTGAAGGAGGTGGTCAAACAGTTCAGCCCGCTGGTCACTAAAGACTTTTACCTGCCAGCCCCACCCCTGTACTGCCCTCAGCCTCCAAGGACTGATAAGGTATTAGTGGTGACGTATCTGTCATTGTTGATGATGATGATGATCTTAGATCGTCTAAGAACATATGATTAAATATGGACAACCATATCCAAGTCTCAAGTATTTTGCCTGCTGTAAAATGATGATGATGATAACGATGATGATGTTGTATTTCATGAATTGGTATCTGAAGAAAACTCGGCATTGAACTGTTGAATCCCTTTGCAGACAAAATATTCTTGCATTTTTGTTAGTCTATGGAAGTGACCAAAATTTCAGTTTTTCTTTTGTTTGTCAACTATGATGATAATACACAACCCATTCAAAGCTGCAAAGGTAAAGAAAGAGGTCTCATTATCAACTTAGATGTTCCTGATAAACCTCCAATAAATAAAAGAACAGATTACGGTACTCAGGAGAATGCAATGTGTTCAATAGAGAAAGGGTACATTTTAAAAATCATAACTTTACGTACTCTGCATCTTTTAACATGGTAATTCATTGCAACCCTCTGATCCTCTGTTCCCTTGTTCCCTCCATTCTCCCATGATAGGCCCGTTACTCTATGGAAGCCGAAGATGAGATGCAACTGCGTCAAAAAGCCGCTTCTTTGATCCAGCTGGCGCTGTGCGTGATGAACGCAACTCACCTGTCTGTGCCGTCCGTGATCTGGTACGTGCAGGTTCTAGAGTCCGTGCAGAAAAAGGCCACACAGTTCAAGGTGAGAATCACGTCCTTTGAATTTGTCTTACTGTGAGGTGAATATGATGATTGTCTTTGTAGATTTCTTGCTGTGAAGTGAATTGCAGTGAATGCCCTGGTTGTATTTGAATATTTCTTTGTTTAATTAAAATATAGCCTCCCATTTTGAACTGCGTGACCTAGTGTGCAACATCCAGGGTCACCATAGGAGTTACTGTGGGTTGCAGCTATGTCTTAAACAGAAAGGAAACAGCAGGCTGTGAATGTTTTGTTACTCAAAGAAATATTTGTTGGAGGGGGGGGGGGGGGTAGGGTTAGCTTTACTTTTGTCCATTTCTTGCTGTGAAATGAATAAGATTTTCTATGAAAATTTTCCTTAGTTTGTGCTGAAAATTAAAAAGAAAGAAGACTGTCGAAATGGATCATCTTGTTTTTTTTTGGTCATGTGTTGAAGACACCGATTAAAAAATTTAAGGTGGAGGAAGAAATTGAGTTGTCGTCTCATCCTCTGTTGTTTTCTTGTTTTCCCCAGGCCAACACAGAGGGTCCCTGCCTGGACCTGCCCGACGTGCTGTACCAGTACCAGCTGATGGAGTCCGAGTTCCCCTACCCTTGTGAGGACGCCTCCATCAAGTCAGTCCTGTCGAGTTTCCGGGAGTTCTGCTCGCTCGTCTGGTTACTCCATGCCAGGGACCAGCTGTCCATCAACCTCCGAGAGCGGGAGAAGTTTCTCAGCCTGGTGAGTTTTCCCTTGAAATATTTTTATCCCAGAGATAAGTGACATTTCACTACCTTGGAATTACAAAGTGTTATCTGCTCAGTATCTGGTTTTGAGAAATTTGATGTTAAAAATATAGAGCTTCACACCCTGTCAAGCTTTTTCGAATGCAATTCTATTAATATCTTCATAAAGAGTTTGAATAATCTTATGATTTTAATAAAGTAGATACAACATATGGTTTCTGACCTTATAGTCTTAGTTACTCAAAAGAGCCAAAAATATCAGATAGAACTTTGTATTTCTAAGGTAGCGATTTGGAGCTTCTTGAGAAGTATTGATTTAGAATTAAAAGAAGTTATGTTTTCTAAAGTCAGCAAAGTGTATTTTTGTGGAGAATACAGTTAAAAACTATGAATTGTAATAAAGTGTCAGCTGTGGTACACAGGTAGTTAGTATTGTGTCATAAGTGGTTGGCAGCTGACCTTTGCAGGTTTTGTGTTCTTTTCTGTCTCTTTCTCTTACATTCTTGTTGTTTCACTGTGTTCTGCCAATCAAAGCCACCGGATCCCATACTGACATCTGTAGTGTAGCAGTAAGGCACTTCCTTGTCACATGCAGAAGACACTAGTTAGTGGGTGGTTCTCAGGTGCTCTGGTGTTGTTTGGTCATTCTTTTCTTTTTTGTGTATACTACTCTCTTGTAACACCTCTAATCTTCTGCCTTTATATATATGACCTTATTGTGTTGCAAGTGCAGTAAAACTCTTACCAAAAAAAAAAAAAGGAGTTCAGTTTCTAATGTTGTATTTGTGTCAGCTTGGATTGGCCCTGCCTGCCTCGAAATTGATCTAAATTGTGTTGATGGGTCATAATACTTTAACAATTATTAAACCCCCAATGGCACTTTTTAAAATGAATGATAAGGTCTCCACAAATACAAACCTCATGAACTTTCTTGTTGTCTTCTACCAGGGTGTGGATGTGGACAATGAGGAGGAATGGCTACGTAAATGTTTCACCACCCTGCAGTGGGCTGTTCACTTGGTGGCCTTCAGCAGGTTTCTCTCGGATGAAGCCAGTGTCTATAAGGTTTGTGTACTCAGGAGGATTTTGTCAACTATGAAAATTAAGTTTATATTATTATGTCTTTACTTATTCCAGAGATGAAGTTTTTTTGGGACATCATCATCATCATCATCATAATAATAATGATAATAATAATAGTAATAATAATAATAATAATGATGATAATAATAATGATGATAATAATAAAATAAAAAGAACAACAACACCAATAGCAATACTTATAATATGACCTTATTGTGTCTCAATTGCTCTAAAACTCTTACTAAAACTAAAATTAAGCCAATGTGCTAGTCATGGGTGCTAATATAGTCAAGATGTCTCTTCTATTATCTATTGTTGTCGACTGCAGCCACTCACAAGCCTTTCCATGTGGAGATACTTCTCTGTAATAGGTGTAAGAGCTCAATAAGATAGAAAAATAGTAAAGACAGAAACTGCTTTCCATTTTTGTGTTTTCATGTGCACCTTTTAAGCATCTTTCATGTCTGGCATCTTTCGCTTTTCAAAACCTGGTGTTTATGTGACTCTTACTGTGTCTATAGCCATGTTAAACACCTACCCAACCACACACCACACCACATTAATCCAGTCCAGTCCACGCCACACCACACCATACCTTACCAAACCACATCATGCCACGCCACGCCAAGCCACACCACGCCACGCCACGCCACACCACGCCATGCCACACCACACTGCACCATACCACTTCACACAACACCATAACATTCTTTTAAAAAAATGATGATCTACCTCTCCTTTCTTAGGTTCATCTTTTTGGTAGGATCGCTGTTAGTATTTATCAATGAGACAGAAAAATCTTCCAAAGAGAAGGGCACAGTTATTTCAAGTATTTTACTCTCTTGTAACACCTCTAAACTTCAGCACTTATATGACCTAATAGCTTTGTAAAGGTTGTAAAACTCTTACTAAAACTAGACTAATTCTTTTTAAAAACTGATGATCTACCTCTCCTTTCTAAGGTAACATTTTTTGGTGGGATCGCTGTCAGTCTTTATCAATTGGAGAAGAAAAAAAAATCTCTCCAAGAAAAGGACACAGCCATCTCAAGAATGACCTCGTACGTTCTCTCTTCCCTCCCACCCTCCCCCAGGTTGTGATGTCGCTGTTGCTCGACCTCCCCGCCACAGAAGACACGGCCAACATCCTGGCCGAGCACCTGTATGACACGGAGAACCTGCACCCTGAGGTCCAGGAGAGGCTGGAGCGGCTGCTCAACTCCTGGCAGGTGAGGGGGGGTGGGGTGAGGGGGGGGGGTGAGGGGGGGAAGACAAGACCATAGAGAGCGATCCTCGTTGATTACTTATTATTGTAAAGAAGTATAGAGATGTTGTAACTTCTTGAATCGCTACCTAAGAATGACAAAGTTCCATCTGACATTTTTGGCCGTTTTGAATTACTCAGAAATCAAATGTCTCTATCTGCTCTGTCACATTCTCAAGATTATTCAGAGTCGTTATGAAGATATTCAAAGAATTGCATTTGAAAACGCTTAGCTACGCTGTGAAACTCAAAATTTTAAAGGTAAGATTTCTCACAAGCTAGGCAGAAAAGCGTCTATCATGATGAGCTGATAATTTTGACTTTGTAATATCATTGCCCTTGTGATAACACAGGCTTACCCAGTGGAGTAATTTTACCAGAGACGCAAATAACTTATTTCGTTTCATCGTGCAGCAACCTGGCAGCCACCTTTACTTGTAACATTTTAAGAGCATTGCTAGTCAAAATTCAGACTTGTGTTTGACTAAGCATATGACATGGATAATTCATTATTGATTAGTCAAATTGAAAAAAAGATTTGTATTATGTGGGTTGGCCAGTTTTATCATAGGGTGACATATAATATGTATTGATAAGAGTGACTTTTCTCTCAAGTCAGTTTTTGTAATGATAATAATAAATAATAAATAGCATTTGTTTAGTCCCAATTCCCGCTCAGCAGCAAGCTCTGTGCACTTTACAATCTATATTATTACTCCAGCAGACCTGATAGCATTCTGAAACAATCTCAACTTCCTGGGAAGCATACTGTGCAAGCTGCCTTTTTATGGGCGCTAAAACATTAACACACTGACAAGATCTTTCACTGCCTATGGTCGGGTACCCATTCCCACCTGGGTGAAGTGAGGAGAATTCTTGTAAAAGGCCTTTCCCAAGGACACAATGTTGGGCCTGAGGCTCGAACCCCTGAACCCACAACCTCATGATTACAAGTCCGGTAGCCTAACCACTTGACTACCGACGCCACAATACTTTCTGTACACCAGGGTGTGATTCTGGTGCCAGAGGCAGATGGAAGATCTGTGGGGGACAGCCTGGAGATGGATGAGGATGGTCGCAAGTCGGTCACTTTCCTGGGAGCCAGTCCTAGAGGGAAAAGTCTCAGTGTTTACTTCCATAAACAATGCATGGTGGGTTTGTTTGCCACACTCTTACTGTCTGTATGTGTTGAAGCATTGCTTGTATTTGTAATAGATATTGACTTCTAGTCTGACAGCTTTGATGTTTGAGGAAAATTAAAACGATTAATTAAAGTTCCATTCAATAAAAAATATTTCTTCGTTAAAGAAACAGCAAGTATGTAAAGCTTAAACTATGCCTGAAATAAAAAACTCATAAGCTGTTAGTTCATGGCAGGTTTTGTTGAGTTTGGATGAAGGGGGAGATAAAACATACATTTATGATTGTATTATCAGTGCTACTGTGGTTTTGAACTTGCCATTTTCAAAGTCAAAGATGAGATGTCTTGTACATAAGTTTTGTGTGGACGGTCCACAGACTTTCAGTTTGAGTATTACTGACCACTGGCTACAGATTGTCCATTCTTGCATTAACTGGTAGTCGGTAAAAGAAGCCAATAAAGAATATGAAGTCCCATAAAAGATATTTTTAAATTCACTAGTGCTTTAACGGTATGTCTATATTTTTATATCTTATTGATTCTGATAACGAAAGCAGCTATTGCTATAAGGTGTAGAAAATTTGGTGTTCAAAGAAGTGGATGAAAGAGTCATTTTCTTTTTTCATTTTTAATTAAATATGTTTTTTTGTTATTTTTTAAATTCCAGATTATGGACAAAGTACTGAAGAAAAAGAGTAAGTGCTATGGTTCATATGAGGAGTTCGTCTTCAATGTCAGTCACAAAGATTCAAGAAAAGGACGACTAGATATTGGTTCTTGGCCTTTTGAAACAAAGAAGTCCTACTTGGACTTTCTCGATACCTTTGTATCCATCAGCTTCAGCAAAGTCCTTGACATCATGGACGAGAAGGGCAGAGATGCCAGCCTCCCTTTCCTGCGAGTGTTTGCCAAAGATATCGTGGACAGAGAAATGTCGTTTTTTGTCCAACGTGTGGCCAGTTCTGCTCACAAGAAACAAAAAGGTCTTTCTGTCTTTTCTGGTGACTCACAAGCTCAAGAGAGGGGGCGGGGCGGTGAGAGGGGTCCGGGCAGCCCTTCTCGCAGGACACGGAGTCGCGACCCAGAGGTGCCTGGTCGAACGTCAGGACGAATGTTCAGACAGGAGGTTGAGGACGATCAAGGTCAAGAGGTCGGCCCGAAGGGTCAACACCCTGTGGGGTTGTTCCGAGGCAAGAGTATGATGGACGCCCCACTAGAGAGGACACATGCTACTGTCAGAAGGTGCGTCATTACAGCACGGGGACGATGTCACGAGTTGACGTTGGTTTGTCTGTTAAATTCAACAAATCCCTACCTTAGAATTACAAAGTTTTATCTACTCAGTACCTAGTGTTGAGAAATTTGACATAAAAAAATTTTGAGTTTCGCATCATGTCAAGTTTTTTTCGAATGCAATTCTTTGAATATCTTGATAACGACTCTGAATAATCTTATGCTTTTGATAGAGCAGATTGCACATGTTGTTTCTGACCAAATGGTTTTGGTAACTCAAAGCAGCCAAAAATGTTAGATAGAACTTTGTAATTCTAAGGTAGTGAAATGCAGTTGAACTTGTCCAAGTTGATCACCCGTTGTTGAGGAGAGAAGTGGTTGTCTTAAACCTTAGATCTTGGTTTTTTTGGACAGTGTCATCATTGTATAGAAAAAACACAAGGGAGAAGTGGGAAGTGGTTGTTTGTACAGGCTGTTGTCTTGAACAGGTGATCATTAGAGCATGTTTGATTGTATTAATAAAAGTATAAATAATAAGAGGAAAGCAGAGGAAAAAGTACCAAACGTTTTGTAAAATTCTGTTCTGTTAATCGTATGTCTGGTTGATTTGAGCTCTAAAATGTTTTGACTTGCTTTACGGATTTTCTGGAAAATTACAAGATGTTGGGTTTTTTTCCTACATACTATGTTTCCTGAGGATTGTTTTTTGCTAGATTCATGTATACCAAAAATATATTTAATGCATTTGTCAAGTTTGTTCTTTAAATATTTCTAAAAGAAATTCATTTGTATAGAGTAATTTTGTTTTGCATTTACCACTTTTGACAAACTCAGTTATATTGTCTATCACTTTTTTCAGGTATGAAAGTGAACCAGGATTGGACGAGTTGAATAATTTCATCCTGGTCGGCTATCAAGATTCTCTGCCTCACCCATCGTCACATGCTGGGGGAAGTCACCAAAACCTGTCGCACATGGCCTCCCGGTTCACCCAATCGGAGGACAACCTGTACAGCAGTCTGGGTAGCCGGGAGCAAGAGGGCCAGTATTGGTCGCTGACGGTGAACTTTGGGAAGAAGTACACGACGCTGCAGCAGCTGCTGGAGTGGCTGGAGATGTGGGGCAACAAGTCGCACGCTCTCGGCATGGTGAACCACGAGGAGGTGCTAGAGATTGCTGTGAGTATTCTGCCTACTGAAGGCAGAACGGCGTAACATATTCTGCCTTCCAAAGGCAGATCTGCATAACTTCACATGTCATGATTTTGAGAAGGAAAAGAAAAAATGAGCACCCCTTCCTCTTCCCTCCCCTCATGACGCTTGGTGTTGAAATCAGTCACTTGGAAAGGTTTCCAACTTTGCGAACTTTTATTTCGCTTGAGAAAAACTAAAAAAAACAACTCCTGACGCTTGGTTTTGATATCAGTCACTTACCAAGGTTTACCACTTAAAAAACTTTTTGTTTTGCAAGGAAAAACATTGTTCTTACATTGACAGTGTTCTTACATTGACAGGTACTGTGTTTTTTTAACAGTTTTTAAAATGCTGCCCTTCAATAGGGTGTCTGCTTACAAGTGGTTTGAATTCTTTAACGCAACTTCTTACCAGTTTTACTCTAATTTCACAATATGTTACTCTTTTTCAAGTTCTAATTTTACTATATATTACCCATTTTCATTCTAGTCTCAACATGCCTTAGTTACTTTTTTTCATTCTAGTTTCTCAATACCTTTCCCTTTTTTCATTCTAGTTCCACAAAACTTTACCCATTTTCATTCTAGTTTCACAACATCTTACCTTTTTTCATTTTAGTTTCACAATGCCTTGCCGTTTTTTTCAAACTCCAGCCCAAGATGAGACTTGGTATTCCGGCCCAGCTGACAGTTCTAGCCCTATGGCTGTTGGAACACAAGTACAGCAGGAGCACGGAGGAAGAGGTCAGGGCGGAGCGCACCAGCAGGGGTCGGAGGGCGCGCAGACTCAGCCGCAGTCCAATGCGAAGGCAGTCGCCCAGCCCTAGTAGAAGGTTAGTTACTGAAGCTGGGATTGAATGATGTTTGTTTAGTAGGGGTGTGTGACGAAAAAGAAATGTGGAATTGGAAGTGACGCTGAGAAGACAGTTATAGTTTAAAGACATAATTTGAAGGAAATTGACGGCCGATTCCATTTTATGGGGACCGGGGTGCTGTCAGTGCTGTTGAAGTTTGAACAATAATTATTGTTTAAGGCGGCTTCCTGCATTGTCATGCGTCATTGATAATCTGCTCTGTTTTGACAAGGGGTCGAAGAAACCTATTTCCCCTTTAACCAGACACTGAAAGCTCCTTATTTAAACCTATTTGACAGTTGTTTCATATTTCTTCATAACGCTTTTGGCTCGGGGCTAGATACTGATGACTGCCAAACTGCTGAGCAGAATTGACAACAACAACAACAACAACAACAACAACAACAACAACAACAACAACAACAACAACGGCACATTCAACATCAACATGTTATTACATGCAAATGTAACTTGAAAGGCTCCAAAGTATGACAGTGGGTGGTTGGCTGGTGCTCTGCTGTGGTTTGCTCCTTCTTTCCTATCAAACATCTATCATCCTGATCTTTCCTGCTTCTTTTTTGTGTTTGTTACTCTCTTATAACACCTCTAATCTTCAGCACTTATGTGACCTTATCGTGTTGCGAGTGCCGTAAAACTCTTACTAAAACTAAAAGTATGACAGCTTTCAGGACACAGAAGTGCACTGACCTTATTGTACACTTTAGGAAGGCCTTTGCTGATTATATTCACATGTTTCTCGCCTAAGAAATCTATGGACTTTTGTACCTTGTTCAAGAATAACTTGTGGGCTATGTTGTATGATTTTTTCCATCCCTGTTAAATCTTGAGAAATGGAGTGACTTGTGATTTTTAGTTTTAGCTTCGAATAAACTGCATATTCCTGAGATGATTACTGTTGTTGTGGGTGGTTAGAGAGCACCACAGACCGCAGGTCCTGATTCTTTTCTTTCTCTCTGTTATTTCTAAGTGTCTATTTTGCTTTTCTTCTGCACTTCATGGCAGTAGGTATGTTGATGTGCTCTTTACTCAAACAAATTCAGCTATGGTTGATGTCTACTTTTTCACTTAATAATCAATGGCTGAGACTTAATTTGTGTTTCTTTTATACAATTAATAAGTTCTTTTATTCATCAGAAACTCATCTATGTCAAGATCTGGTACTCCGCCTCGGTACCCAGAACCCTCCATAGTTCGTCAGGCAAGCCCCGTGAGACAGTCCCCATACGGAACACCGGTGTCATCAGCGGTCAATAGCGGGGGCGGTGGTGGACCGGGTGGACCGGTGCCGCGGCCCAGGCACATCTCCCCGGTGGAGGGAACTGCCAGTGTGCACGAGGAGACGGCTCTCAGGCACTCCCTACAGGCCATGTCTCTAGAGCATGACCAGATCATTGACGCCTACACACAAGTCCTGGACGGGTACGCTGTAATATAAAGTTACCCTGCTCTTGGTGCTGTTGTGAGAAAAAGCCGATGTTTTTAAAATTTGAAAATGCAGGGCTTGTGAGATTCAGTCATTCTTAAGCACACAAATATTGTAATTTTGAAACATGGAAGGGTTTTCATTCCTATTTCTGTATCAACTTGTTTATATTTCAGTGTTTTTGCTAAAAGAATAACGCAATATCTTTTTTATCAGAGCGGACTTGTTGAGTGGTTGGAGGATGGAAGAGGTAGATCTTACTTCTTTATTAGTCTGTCTGTCTGTCTGTCTAATTTTTTTTAATGCATTGAATGGTCTTGTTGTTGTGCTTATGCTCTTCTTTTTACTCAGACTAAGCTAAATCTAAACTGATACAAGTTATCATCTTTGCTCTTAGGAAAAGTAGGAAAAATTAACTTTTTAAATAATAATAATAATAAAGTGCATTTATTTACTGCATTTCCACAAAGAAGTGTTCAATGCACTGTACAATAATATAAAGAAAGTATGCAGCGCACAGCTCCGATAGTAATCCTCTTTTTCTCTCTCTCTCTCTCTCTCACTCTGTCTCTGTCTCTGTCTCTCTGTTTGTCTCTCTCTCTTTTGCCGGGGACAGAGCGCTATATTTTGTCTGTTTGATCCTGCAGCCCTGAGGACAGTAGTTCTATTGGAGTGAGCTCCCTTGCCTCAGATGAACTGGATGGAGACTTGAAGAACACGCTGAACGCTCTACGCGGAGGGTAAGATGTTGTTTGAGAGCACATCGTGGTACAAGGGACATGCCTGTCCTCTGCCCATGTTGGCGATCATAACTGAGCTTATGGAAAACTCCCATTGAATGATGTAACAAAAATGAACATGAGAAACACATCTCTTTTGAGATTTATCTAATACCATTGATGACTTTGACTGGTATTTTAGTAAATAGTACGATATATATTTAGTTGTTTTTTAGCTGAAAAAGCTTGAATTCATACACATTATCCGTTTTTTTGCTCAAGAAGGATGGAGGAATAGGAATACTCTGTGCTCAATTTGAGAATGGCTCATTTGTGTACACATACGTATATACATTCAAAAGACGTATATGCATTCAAAAGTTGGCCAAAATTAATTCTGACTTGAGACGAAATAGATGTGTCTAGATTTCAAGTTGGAACACAATGACTTGCTTTTTCACATATATGTAAAGTGCTCAGAGATTGTTTTTTAATTGGGGTTGAGTGCAATATAAATGTCATTAATCATTATCATTATTATTATTATTATTTTTATTATTATTATTATTATTATTAATATGTGAGGCAGCGTGGTGAAATCAGGCGCTTGTCAAGATAATGAAATCAGAAAAATAGGCATTTTCCCGCCAGTTTGTAAATTTTGATCATTGATATAAAAACATATTTCCATGTGAATTTTACTGAAAAACACTGATTAAAGGCACAAAATTTGCCTTTTTTTCAATTTCCAAAGACTCTTTAGCTGTTAGAGTTACCAAACTTTGGTGGCCATTTTTCTCGATAATTTCACCACTGAAATCAGGCAACCTCACTTACTTTCTTCAAGCCTAGATATCTTGAGTTCTATTAAAGATAAATGGATTTTGTTTTAATCAAAAGCCAGACAAATAAACAAGCTTTAAGTGGATACCAATAACTCCACATGCCCAAAAAACTGACGAGCGCCTGATTCCACCGTGTCGCGACACATATTATTATTACTATTAACCTGAACTGGAAGTACCAAACAAAGAAAATGCCTCACTTATTGATACAACTTTCTCCCAGGTCTCCTGAGAGAGGGACAGGGGGAGTGCCCCAGCCTAAGGACAGCAGCACACCAGTGAAACCGGAGAGTACACCAGGTAGGACCAACGTCTTAGTTTTAGTAGAGGTTTTACAGCGCTCGCAACTGCATAAGGTCATATGAGCGCCAAGGGGTGGATGTCAACAGAGAAGTCCTTACAGGGAATCAGACCTACTCTACTCACCTCTCTAGCTTCAACAGCACAAAGTCTGCTTGGACTATCAAGGCGCCCTGGAAATAGCGGGTCACAAGAGTGTGACAAACATACAAAAGAAGTAGAAGAAAAAATGACGATAGTAAGGATTAGGAAAGAAAGAGAAGCAGTTCCATGTTGCAGTTCAGGCACAGTTATGAGCATGACATTGGTGAATCAGCCCAATTACAATTGTACTGTACATAAGAACAAGTTAATGTTCCCAATTTGGAAAAGGCCTAGAGACACTTCAGTCAGTAGCACCGCCCCGGGGGGTGGACCAACGTCTGCTGGTTGGGCCATTTTTCACTCTTCTCTACGGGAGCCTGGAGGACCTGTGGCGAACAGCAGCCTTCTTTCTAGGCACTGAGGTGTCCATTTAAAATGAACGAGAAGCGAGACTCTCTTGATATTTACGTATGGAATTTTGTCATCATTACTTGTGCCTCTGACCAGGCAGCTTCTCTCTTGAGATCCTGCGTGGAGTTTTAGAATTTTGAAGAATTTTTCCCTCCTTGCTTTTTGGATATGAGCTCCTCTGGTAAACGTCTATCCAGCCTCCCCCCCCCCCATAGATATTGTTTGTCTTTCGTGCATGATATCAAGGCTACCTTTCATGTTGGCCCCACGGCGAGCAGAGACCCTGGATGTGGGAAGATAGTTATGAAAGTTCCAAATGGAGGGCTGAAGTAGATCCTTACTGCTCCTATGTACTTGGAGCTGGGTTGTGACTTATTTTTACCTTGTTCTGTCATTGAATTCAGACTTTTTTAGTCTGCATCATGGAAGAGTTTGCCTCCTTAAGTGTCCAGTGCTCTACTTTAAAACCTAACATACTACCCAGTTATTTGTCATCTCAGGATTTGTCTGTGGCTTGACGATTTCTGAAGTAAGCTCTTTTTTTTTCCTGTCTCTTTTGTTATTTCTGGTTGAGTGCTTTTAAAAAAAATGACATTAAATGACCATTGTGGAGTCAGTATCTTATTGTTTGTACCAAGCAAGAAGCGCCGATCATATGTGAGGCAGCGTGGTGAAATCATGCACTCATCAAAATAATGAAAGACAACTGTTTTGGCAAGTTAGATTGAAACGAAGAGAAAGTTACTCGAGGGTTTTAGTACCAAGAGAAAAGTTATCGATTCCACATTGCAAGCTATATTGCCCTACCATATGCATTTTACATCACTAGGAGCCCAGACACCCAACCTGTCCCCCCCACCAGCCAGCCACAAGAGCAACCACAGCCAGGCTGACAGCCTGAGGCAGCCTCTTCCCACTGCGCCATCGCCGAGGAGAGCAGCATCGCCCAGGAGAGTGGTAATGGGCAGCCAGTCACAGAATGGCTTTGGTGGAGATGTGGCGAGTCAGCTGCAAGGAATCATCCGGGGAGAGTTGAGACGCATCTTTGAGGTTAGCCAGTGGTTTTGTTGGTGCTATATTGATTGACTGCTCTTAGGAATACTTCGTCATCGTTGTTGTTGTTGGTAGTGATCCCGTAGCATCTGAGCATTAACTCTTGTAGTAATGAAATAAGCAATAAAAGGGCCGCCTAAGTTTGGTAACTCCAATAGCTGCCTTACATTTGTTAACAACACCATGCAATCAGCCGCTCATGAATTTTTAGGTATTTGAAGTTGTTTTTATCTTTTAACTTGTTTGTTTGTCTTGCTTCTGATGGAAAAAGTAAATAGAAGTCGAGATATCTTTGATTGAAGGAGGTGGGGGTCGCCAGGTGTCAGAAGCAAAATTAAAGAGAAATTGGCTGCCAAAGTTTGGTGACTTCCAAAGCTTGAGTGTCTTTGGAAACTGCAAATTTTCATTTTTTCTTTAACCTTTCATCAATGTTTTTCAGTGAGGATCACACAGAATTTTGTTTTTTAAAATGGACTTGAAAGGTGTTGAGTTTTTTTAAAAATTGAGTGAAAGTTGAACAAAAAGGAGCAAAATGCAAAATGCCCGACAAATACAAGGATCCTCTCCTCCCCCCCTCCCCCCCCTTCCCCCACAGTAAAGAGAAACAAAAAGTAATTTGATGGTCAAAGTTTCCTTTTATTGTTTTTTTTTACCTCAGGTCCAGCACCGTGGTATGCTTGCGCTGATGGGTGCAGTGGACGGGGCTCCCCTCCCAGGCTCCCCAGTACCGGAGGTTTTCCCGCCCAGCCTGGCACAACAGACCTCCAACAATGTCCACCATGCCGCCTCTCCTCAGCGGGCGGTCAGGTCTCAGCAGCCTCACGTTGGGAACTCCCCGTCCAGAAATGTGGCCGGGTGGAGCGATGATGACACAATCGCTCAGACAATCAGTTTTCACGAAGAGCTAGTGTCTCAGTCGTCAGCCAAGCAGCTGAGTCACTCTCGCAGGCGGTCGAGCAAGAGCAAGCAGAGCGGCCACATGAGGGAAGCCTTGTCTGAGCTTCAGAACCTTCAGGCCGAAACTACTCAGGTGGGACTTGCGCAAATTTTTCTTTCTTTTCTTTCTTCATGCATCTAGTCTGAATAATTCCCTAACTCAACCTAGTGATAAAAATCTACAATGATTATTAACACCCGGATAAAAGTGTACAGTACAACCTGTACTATTCTATTATGAAAACTCTGTTTAACTACACAAAATATTTTCTTAAAATATTACTGACATGTGCTTCATTTATAATTTATGCTTTTTCACAGAAGTTTCCTCTCTAAAATGTGTATGCTTTATGTGATGTGAGCAATAGCCTCAAACTCTGCATAAAATATCTACCTACCTTTTTGCAACTGCTACACTCATAATTGCATTTCTGGAATCATCAAGTGAAAGTTGTCAAAGTGTTCCTTTCTTTCAGTTTAAACATGTCAACATAACTTCAGAACCATCAGGCTGAAATCACTCTCCATGTTGGTCTTTTTGAAATTTTTCTTTCTTTCACTTTCTTCTTGCGACTCTACTCGCAAACAATTAAACAAGCAAACAATTTCACAAGCAAACAAACAAACAAACAAGCAAGCTGTGTAAATCTGTGTTGTCCTCCTGATTTTACAGGTTCCCCACCCTGGAGGTCGACATTTGTCCGCCTCACACAGTGAACAGATCAGCCAGAGAGCCCAACAAGTCTTCTCTAGTTATCCAGGGTATGCAGTTTTTTGGTTATCTTATTTGTTCTTTCACTCCTTAAACATTCTGGTTATGCCGAGACTAAATTTTTTAGACTGGGTTACAGAAAAGGGCAAAAGAAAAGAAAATTTCCTTGATTTTTGATGGAGATTTGTTTTACAAAGATGTGCATGATTGTCAATGATATCAAATCTCACATTGAAACAGTGGCATGTCATTGTTGGCCACTGCGGTGAAGAAACCAGTTATTTGAGCAAGGGTTGAAGTGTTTTGCTGAAGAACTCACCTCAGTGCCCACTCATGAAACAGCTGTGTCAGTGACATGTAAGTGTTTAAAGGAAAGTTTCTTATATGTGTTAACAATGTAGTTTTACTATCGTTTAGTTTGTCCATCCTACATATATTCAATGCATGAACTTGAAGGGAAAGTATAATTATCTGCATCTTTTGTTTGGAAAGTTATTGGCCTTGTTTAAATCATTTGCATTTCTTCTGTCTCTTTGATATATTAATTTTGCTGGTTCATGTTTTACTCTCTGTCTCTGTTTGTCTCTCGAAATGGTTTAAATTCAGATGAATTTCCTTCTTTATAAACACATTGTTAATATTTTTGTCTTGGTTATTGTCAAAATTTGACAGTAGATGGATAAGATGTGATCCGTTAAAGCTTATATTATTTTATGACATCTGTTTCTTCTAATTCAAACCAGCCACTTGCTCTTTGCTACCATGTGTATACACCAGATCTTTGGTAATTCTCTTCTTCTTTAGCTCAACGTTCCTTTTTTTTAATGTCAAAATATTTCATTTGTCTATGCGTATATCCATATGTTTTCATTCAGACTTCTATATAACTTTCTTATTTTCTTTTTTCGAAATATTCCATGCTCTGCACATTTACATGTACATTATTATATCTACATGTTTTCTGTCAGACCTCCATTAGCTTTTTTCTTGTCTTAAAAAAGAAGTCGAAACTGTTCAAGATGGCCACCTATTTTCAGGTTAGAAGTGGCTGTCTTTTGCCGGTGGCCATCTTACAGAGTTTTATTTAATGTAAAAAGTATGCAAGGAAGGAAATGGGAAGTTGCCGTTTGTGCAAGTCTAACACAGGTGGCCATCAGAGCAGGTTGGACTGTGTACCACTTCTTTGGGGGTTCTCGTGGCTTGGAGGTTAAGGTGTTCGCCTCTCATTCAAAGGTCCCTGGTTCTAATCCGGGTAGCGACCGAAAAATTTTCTTCTCTAAAATTGTCTCCTTTCACCACATTTCCTGCTCTCTAGCAATGTTCTGCCCCCACCTCCTCACCTCCTTTACCCCTCCTCTGGGCTTCTGACTCTTTCTATAGCCTTTTTACTGCTACTCCTTGGCTCCTTCTTACTGCTGTCTTTCAGCTACACCCCTGATCCTCTGGTAGGAGAGATCTACGCTTCGCCTTCTCGGACAAGGGCGAAAAATCTTGGAGATCTCGTGTACAAGTTGCGCACATGAAAGATCCCTTGGTGGTCTAAAATCGATAAGAGTAGGCTTCGGCCGCTACCTGGGCAAAATTCAAAATTTCTCACAACTAAAAATGTTTGATATAGCCCATGTGCTCATATAACCTTATGCAGTTGCGAGCGCTGTAAAAAATTTACCCAAAATAAAATTTAAAAAATACTACTTCTTCGCACGTTGGCCCAAGTTTGTATGTTCATGTTTTCAGGCTTCCACCTACCATTCATATATTTTTCCCTCTCAAAATACTTCTTTTCTCTTATTATGTTCACAGTTTTTTGTTTTCTTGCTTTTGTTCAGACCTCCATCCGGCAGTGCTGGAGAAAACATCCATCTTCCATATCTTCCGTTCCAAGCCTGGACCTCGTCCGGTGTTGCCCCGACCCACAACCAGGGACCTGGTGTGCCCAAACTGCCTCTGCTGCGCGTTGACCCACCCACACAGGAACATGAACCATTTCAGAATCTGCGCAGATTTTTATCTCAAGTGCCTCCACCTGCTCCTCCTCAGTTTCATTCTCAATCACATTACGCTTCGCATTCTTCCCCTCGTCCTCCTCCTTTCTCTCTCATGCCTCCTCAAGCACAACAGCAGGCTTCATCATCCTTTACGGCGCCCCGACCGTCAGATCAGCCGCTGCCTTTCCTCCAGCGGTATCCCCCGCCTCCCTATGAACAGAGGCCCCTCCCTCTACTGTCAGCTCCAGCCGAGCAGACATCAGCATCGGCTCCGTCTGGCTTCCCACTCCTGAGGATTCTTCCGCCAGGTGTGTCGTACGGTGCCAGCGAGGCAGATCTAGCGCGCCAGAGACAGAGCAACGTGGTGGAGGAGACGCGGCACAGGCTGCTGAGACAGTTCCAGGAGCAGATCATGCAGGGCCGAGAGGAGGCCGCACAGCACGCAGCCGGACAGCAGCTGTTGCATCTAGAGGGCTCTGAGGAGCTTCGGAAATCTCTGGTAGGAAGGATTGGCTTGATTCACATAAATGAATTTTGATTAGCTTTTTGTTTTTCTCCCTCACTATGTTTCTTTGACATTATGTTTGTGAAAGAGGCTCTTGAATTAGGCTGTAAAGAGTGCACCAAGACAACTAAATGGCAGGAGGGGAAAAGCTAAAGACTGAATGAATGGCTGGAATAGAGAAATAGAACACAGACTGAATCAGCAGTTGTAATGCACGTCCTACTATTATAGTATAAGCAGGCCAATGCTTTATGTCATTCAACAAATCATCGCCTAAGAATTATTTTGTCCAAAGTGCACTCTATATTTAAATACACTACGGGCAAAATAATTCTGAGGCGACGAAATGAAACAAAGCATCAACGGATCCTTTCTGTTCTCTAAAATAGATAACATAATACAGAAGAAAATGTGTCACGACGCGGTGGAATCAGGAGCTCATCAACTTTTGGGCATGTCGAGTTATTGGTGTCATCTGAAAGCTTTCATTTGCCTTGCTTCCAGTGAAATAAATATCCAATTATCTTGAATAGAAGTCAAGATAGTTAAGATTGAAGGAGGTGAGGTCACCTGGTTTCAGTGGTGAAATTAGTGAGAAAATGACTGCCAAAGTGTAGTAACTCCAACAGCTAAAGAGTCCTTGCAAATTGAAAAAGAGATATTTTGTCCCTTTGATCAATGTTTTTCAGTAAAATTCAAATGGAAACCTTTTTCTTTTATGGACATAAAAGGGATGAGCCAAAAAACGAAAATTCAATAAAAAAATTTCCCACCTGCTGGAAAAAAGCAAGTTTCTCTGATTTCGTTATTTGGTGAGTGCCTGATTTCACCACACTGCATCACATATACAGTCTCATTATCTTCACGTTATCTCCATCTCTGCTAGGAGTCGATGCGGTCCCAGTCCTTGAGGTCTCAATCTCTGCGGTCTCAGACCTCGGAGAGAACTTTGTCGGAGAGAGAAGGATCTCGGGCAGAGCAAGAGGATGTCGCTGAGGAGGAGGAAGGGAAAGAAGAAGATGGGCGATCCAAATCAGCAAGTCCCAGACGTCCAGTGGCCACAGGTGCTGATGTTGCTGGCATGGACGCTCCTGTCAGCGATGGATTTGCTCTGCCAACTGGTGCGTCCAACGATCATAAAAATTTTTTTTTCATGTTTTCATTTCTTCTTCTTTTTTGCTAAGTAAGAACGAATATTTCCTTTTACTTTTAAGGGTATGAGGAGCAGATGCATGTCTTCCAAAATAATGTACTTTTGAGGAACTTGCCTTGTAATGAAAATTTCTTTGGAAGACATTTGTTTCTCAACAGTAAAGAAGCTGTCATTATGCGTTTGTATACTCAAACCTCAATCAAATCCACACCATATGTACCAATCTGTATGAAGTTATTTAGAGTCCCACATGATAGGTATGTCTTTCAACTAGCTTGTTCCCCCTGCACAGGTATATTTGAGAGCTATCTGAAGCTTGGCGAGAACTTGTTTGGTCCGGAGGTCAATGAGACAAACTCGGCACTGCACATGCAGTTGGCACAAGCCATGCACAGGCATGCTGCCAAACGGGTCAAGGCCAAGGTGAGTCTCACACTTTTCTTTTCTACAAGTTCCATTACCAGAACTTTAACACAGTCACGCTGGGGGGTGTGGATGATACTCTAGCTTCTTTTTCTTGGCTCATCTCTTAGATGAGAGAGATATCAATTCTCATGTCCCTGAACAAAATTGGTGCCTTTAAGGGAGCTATTTTGATTTGTTTGACTATTGATCCTCTGTATGTGTTTGCGTCTTTTCTTTCTTTCTAGTCGTTTCTGTCTGTCTTGCTCCTCCCCCCACACTGAGTGACTTTTATTGTGGGTTTTTTTCTGTTGCCTGCATGATGATTTCAGACGCAGAGCCTAATCATTACATCTGTGTCACTTATTTAGTAGTGACTTATTTCTAAAATAAATGAACTCGAGTTCTAAAATTATCATGATCTTTTTGTCAATGTACTTTTTTTTTTTCAACAAGCACGTGATTTAGTGCAGTCAGATTTTTATAGTTGTTGTTGTTATCGATCCAGCAACAGCTGCTCTCTCGCCCTTCTGTCCAATGCCATGTAGTGATAAGTGCAGGTTAGCTGCAGTTGCTGTAATGTTCCGTAGAGTGTGTTGTCAAAGTTAAGTCTCGGAGGGAGAAGTATAGCTCTACTGCAGTCAGATAAGTTGCCATGTTTTGCTTGTCGAAGCTCTACTGCAGTCAGATAAGTTGCCATGTTTTGCTTGTCGAAGCTCTACTGCAGTCAGATAAGTTGCCATGTTTTGCTTGTCGAAGCTCTACTGCAGTCAGATAGGTTGCCATGTTTTGCTTGTCGAAGCTCTACTGCAGTCAGATAAGTTGCCATGTTTTGCTTGTCGAAGCTCTGCTGCAGTCAGATAAGTTGCCATGTTTTGCTTGTCGAAGCTCTACTGCAGTCAGATAAGTTGCCATGTTTTGCTTGTCGAAGCTCTACTGCAGTCAGATAAGTTGCCATGTTTTGCTTGTTGGAGCTCTACTGCAGTCAGATAAGTTGCCATGTTTTGCTGATCGGAGCTCTACTGCAGTCAGATAAGTTGCCATGTTTTGCTGATCGGAGCTCTACTACAGTCAGATAAGTTGCCATGTTTTGCTGATCAGAGCTCTACTGCAGTCAGATAAATTGCCATGTTTTGCTTGTCGGTTGGCTGCAGGTGGACTTCAGCACCATGACCCAGGAGCAGGTGGACGCAGCCATGGCCACTGATCCCGCCATGGAGGTTGTGAGGACTGCTGAGGCAGCCACCTCCATCACCAAGGACACAGGTTTGTTTGTGTGTGTGTGTGTGTGTGTGTGTGTGCGTGTGTGTGAGTGTGTATGTGTGTGTGCGCGTGTGTGTGTGTAATGTATTCAGCGATGGCCACTGACATTAATATTTGTTTGTTTGGAATAGTATTTTGAATGGAACTTCATTTGTAAATTAAAATGATTCTTTTTATATCATAATGTGTGGCACAACGCTGTGGAATCAGGTGCCCGTCAATTTTGGGGCATATAGAGTTATTAGTATTATCTCCAAGCTTATCCAATTGTCTTGCGTTTGGCATAAAAAATACCCAGCTATCTTGAATAGAAGCTGAGATATTTGCGATAGAAGGAGGTGGGGGGGGATGGCTTAATTTTTTAAACTAGCCTCAATTGTTATGCGAAAATATGATTAAATTATGACAAATTGATACATACTGCTGTGCAAAAATTGGGTCTCAATGACTGGCCTGTTAAAGAGATAATTGAGGATAAGTTGCGCGACAAATTTTTGACTGCAGTTTACTTGAGTTTATCTGCGATTTTACCCCCAGGTTCGGATCCTATCGAGGAGGCATTGCGTGAGTACGACCTGAAGCGTCACAACAACCTGGTGCCTCCGGACATCTTCATGGGGCTACGCTTCGCTGACCAGGACTCACAGAGCGGGGTGGCTGCTCATGCAGCGCCCAGCGACCCTGTGAGTTGGCTTGTTTATTTTGCTACTTATTTTAACTCTTTCTCTCTGAGGAGCTCAAATGACCGTATGCAGTTGCGAGTGCCGTAAAACCCTCTACTATAAAAAACAAACAAAATACAACCCACTATGCAGGGACCCTCTTTTGGTACGAAATCTAAGAATGACACATACGTCTCTAAATTGATCATCAAATCAAAATAAATGTACCTAGTTTGATAGCTCTTCGTCTAATGAAACATCTTCTGGTTATAAGAGACCTATTATTGGCAATTTTAATTAGACATTGAAATCGCCGTATTGGAATGTGCCCAAGCCACTGGAAGTGGCTTGCTGGAGATATAGAGTTAAGGGCTGCTTATATTTCATGTACACATATCCCATAGTCACAAACTGATTGCCGTAAAGTTTCAAAGATCGGTGATTCGCTTTCTTAATGTAAAACGAATAAACCAAATGTGTGTCTTTTTAACTTTCAATGCAGAGAAAGAAAAGAATGGCATCTGTGGTGAAGCCATTAGGTGCATCAGCATTACGTGCGGTTGGTTCCTTGGCTTTATAGCTCAGCCCACTACTTCTTCTCATCGGTATTTTCAATGAGTTGTTCTAATTTTTAGGAAATGTCGCTGTTATTTTGCTGGGTTGCTGTAGGTTACAATTTGAGTCTCTCTATTTGAATTTCTTAACAATGATTAACTTAAGACTCAAACCCAAGGGGTGTTGCTGCATGGTGAGATGAAGCTTCTAAATGTTGTTAGATTTCAAGAAAAAGTAATGAGACTTACCCTTTTTTTCCCTTTCATTTTAGGTATTTTACACCCCCGCTTACACAATTCAGATCATTTAGAAGAGAGGCTTTAGCCTTGCCTGTCAAGGACGACTGAGATTAAGAAAGATATAATGTCCCAGCAAAAAGACAGAGAAACTGTAAAAATTCTCCCCACCTGGGAATCGAACTCAGGTCTTCTGAGTGAGATAATAAAGAGCATTATGGCTACACCACAGACATGTTTCTGTATTTTCTGTGCATTAAAAGTTTAAAAGAAGCATCTGATTTATTCATTCAACACTGAGCCAGTATTTGGTTCCTTTTTTAAATCTGCTTTTTGTAAAAAAATTTTATACAGTGCCGTTCTCCCAGTTTCCATTTGTTATTAGGGATTCAGAAATATGCAAGATGATTTTAAGTCTTTTATTGCTTCCTTAGGTGTGTGAATTTCTGAGAAAAAAAATGAAGTGAGTTGGGATGTAACTGAAATTAAACTAAACATGAAATTGTTGTTGGATGATTATAAGGATAACCCTTGTTTCAGAACGTTCTCGTTTATCAAATGTTTTAGCAATGTTTTAACCATGACTCTTTGTCCTGTCAGACTGGAAGAGGCCGGGCGTTCTTGAATGTGGTGGACATCAGAGCGTCATCAGTTCTGAAGGACATCCCGGACAGAACCAAGGCCCAGGAGGCGGCTGTGGACCAGGACAAACTGGACACTGCTGTGTTGGCCTCGGAGAGGACTGCTCACCAGATAGGTAGGGCGGCATCTAGTGCTACAGATTGGTGAACAAATGGTACCCGGGTATTATCTAAGATAAGAAGATGATACAATGTGGAAAAATAAACTTTGACCCATGTCTATGGTGTAGTTGTTAGGCTCTTTTCCATCACTCACAAAAGGAAAGAATTCAATTCCCGAGTACCGGGTAGGGAATGTAGTGTACAAACACCTGCTAGTTATCTGCCATGTATGTTTATTATTCTTCTGTACTTCCTGTTGTCCTTAAAAGGGCTAACGATCTTTTAATCAACAACTTATACTTAATAACCTGATCATGTCCCTTGGACTATAAACTAATATAAATATAAGTAAGCTTTATTCTATTACAGGGAAACTTAAAAAAAAAATTAGATATGTCAATCTGTATGCTGTGATGCTTTATCCTTCTAAGTCTGGGTTAGCTCATGACAGGCAGGGCTGAGGTAGCTCACCTCCTATGTTATGATCTAAATCATGTTAATGGAAGCTTGAAACACCTAAAAGTTTGTAGATAAGGATAAGCTTTGTTTAATAAAGATGTATTAAGCTTTCACTCACATCTTTAGTCACTGCCTGTCTTCAAGTATTCTTCTCCAAATGTAGTGAAATGAGGTAAAGTGCTTTTCCCAAGGATGCTTCATTCTACCCAGGAAAACAGGGATTGGAGTCCTCAACCTTCAGCCTGCAAGTTTGTTGCCTTACCACCAGACTAGGATGCTCCTGGTGTAGACATAGGTGTTGTGCAGTTTTCAATTTGGTAAAAGTTGTACTACGCTCACAACTGCATAAGATCAAATGAACGCGCAGGATACAAGTTGGTTGTTTTCATGTTAGTTCATAGCATTGCTCGGTTTTTACGTTGTAAGTTGGAATGGCCGAAGTATCTAAATATACATTTGTGCAGTTTGGGAATAGTTTGTGCTCTGTCCAACAGACGCCATGGAGGAGACGCTGAGGGAGAAGTTTGCCCCCAGAGACTCGAGAGCTCCACCCCGGGGCTACGACTCTGTGACGGTCAAACTGTTTGACGGACTTAAACCTCGGGATGACTCGTAAGTCACAGATACTTGTTTTATATGATGTCTTGTTGGTAAATGTAAAGTATAACCCCCATGTCTTTGCAAATAACAATGATCACAGCTCATTGTTTCCTGTGTGGTTTGGTCCTTCTTTCCTATCAAACATCTATTATTTTGATCTCTCCTTCTTTTTTATGGTTGTTACTCTCTTGTAACACCACAAATCTTCGGCATTTATATGACCTTATTGAGTTGCAAGTGCCGTAAAACTCTTACTAAAACTAAAAGAAGTGTTTGAAGATCCCTAGCAATGACTCTTCTTCATGGTCTCCTAAATAACTGACATAGAATGATCAATAGTAATGTAATGCAGGTTTAATAATTGATTTTACAGGCAGGTTACATATTTTTCTTTTTGGCTAAGTTTGATAAGTCTTGGATGGATTGGAGTTCATTTCTGTCATTGCTTTGATTTGAGGGATGAAAATGAAGAAATTGAGTGGTAAAGGGTATAAGAAATTGTTGTTTAACTCAGTCCTCCCGCAGTTAATGACAGTTTTCAAGCCATATTATTTTTGCTACTGAATTTTAATGCCCTATGAGACATTATATAGGTCATTTTAAAAATAGAAGCTTAACATGCCAATAGGTCCCATCTTGAAAGTAGGCTCTAAGTCCCTTGCGATCTATTCCTCACACTCATACAACTCGCATGTTCTCCAGTCTGTCTGTGGCCGTGTTACCGCGCAGCAGCGTTTCGGAGCCCAAGTCTTCCATGATTCGACGACTCCGGGACATGACCGACCAAATCAAAGCCATCGACGAAATGTCGCAGAACATTGAGAGGGATTTCAAGTCTTCTCATTTGGTACGTTTTTTTCTTTTTCTTTTTTTTTTTCATTTGCTCCTCTTATACTTGAAGAATCATTATACTGTTTATTTTGTTGTCTTGCTAATTTATCAAAATCAGCCTGTCCTGAGGGTGGTTTTAGGGCACTACTGGTAGGTCCTACTTCTTTTCTTTTGCTTTGTTCATGTATTTTTTTTCCATTTTTCTATTGTGCCGTTTTCTTTGCACTCAGTGACAGTTATCATGTCAATGAGCTTTTCCTTATTCAAACAAAGTATTGTCTGCTGACAGTCATTTTTTCTTTCTTCCACTTTTCGTATCTCTCTTACCATCTGCTCCTCTGTTATTTATGTTCATCTGTCTTGTTTTTTTTTCCAGCTTTAAATAATCACTCTCTTGTTGCTGAACTCAAAATTGGATAAAAAATACCAATCTGTTTGTACTCTATCTTCTGTGTTTGCTTTGTTAGTTTTAATTTTTAAAATTTTTGGCATTTGTATCGATTTTTCCTCTCTTTCACACCCTCATTCCTGCTAATGTTGACCTACCTATTCACAGCTTTTGGATACTATTCAAGATGTGAATGCGTCCATATCGGTGCAGAGGTCGAGATCCCCCAGTCCGGAGAGGTCAAGGCGAAAGAAACACAAAGAACTGAGATACTCTTTGGAAGGAGAAGAAGATGTAAGTGATGAATATACAAGGATTTAAAAAATTTATTAGCTTTTCTTGAGGTTTATTTATGTATTTATTTATTTGAGATCAATAACCTAAGAAGAAAAAGAGGTAAGTGATGAATATACAGGGATTTTTAAATAAAAAATTGTTTTGGCGGTTTGTATATTTATTTATTTGTGACCAATAACCTAAGAAGATAAAGAGGTAAGTGATGAATATACCTCACTTTGTGTGTGTAAATGTACAGTTTCCAAAATGATCAGAGTAAGTTGTTTATAGAGGTAACATGGCATCTATAGAATACAGTATATACAAGTTTGTTTTTTCGTTTTTATTTCCATTTTATTTTTCTTCTTTTTCTTGTCCAATATATCTGTTTGGTTAATGGATCTATTTTTTGGGATGAATGTTGAATATTTAACTCATTCATGTCACTTCTTTCCCCCTCCCTCCACCCCACCACCCTTCATCTCACTGTATGGTAAGTTATAATGAGTCTGAGAAAGGATACCACAGCACAAACTTGAAAAAGAAAAGAATAGGCTTTATCTCTTCCTTCAGGGAAATGTCAAAGTGAAAAAAATGTCCCCTTGTCTGAAAAAGTTGAGTTTAGATTATTCTTGTTAAAATCCCAGGAGTGGGTGGTTGGCGGGTGCTCTGGTGTGGTTTGCTTCTTCTTTCCTATCAAACATCTATCGCCCTTATCTCCCCTTCTTCTTTTATGCGTTTGTTACTCTCTTGTAACACCTCTAATCTTCTGGCGCTAATATGACCTTATGCAGTTGCGAACGCTGTAAAATCTCTACTAAAACTTTAAAAAAATTCCCAGGAAGAAGAGGAGCAGGAGAGAAGTGGAAAGGGAGTCCCTGCTCCGAAGACATCGGCCAGGTCTCCACTAGTGAGCGCACGCTCCGCAAAGTCCAGAGGCACACTCAGCTCTCGCAGGTCAGTGGAGTCAAAAATCTTCAGGTGTAGTCTTTACTGATGTTTTCTCTCTGTATTTATATATATGTGTGTATGTGTCTGTGTGTGGGTGTGGGTGTGTGTGTGTGTGTGTGTGTGTGTGTGGGTGTGGGCATGTGGGTGTGTGGGTGTTTGTTGTCTGTGTGTGTTTGTGTGTGGGTGTGGGCATGTGTGTGTGTGTGTGGGGGTGTGTGGGTGTTTGTTGTCTGTGTGTGTGTGTGTGGGTGGGTGTGTGGGTGTTTGTTGTCTGTGTGTGTGTGTGTGGGTGGGTGTGTGGGTGTTTGTTGTCTGTGTGTGTGTGTGTGTGGGTGGGTGTGTGGGTGTTTGTTGTCTGTGTGTGTGTATATGTGCGTGTGCACGTGTGTGCTTGTGTGTGTGTGTGTGTGAGTGTGAGTGTGAGTGTGTGTGAAAACTTGGGATGAAATCAGGTGGTCGGCCAAATAATGAAATCCCAAAAGCTGACATTTTTCTGCAAGTTGGGAAATTTGTATCGATTTTTTTTGTTTTTGCTTGCACAGCACCTCTTATGATCCATTTAAAAATGCATTTCTGTGTGCATTCTCCTGAAAAAACGTTAATCAGAGGCAAAAAAATTGTAAATTTGCTGTTTCCAAGGACACAAGCTTTAAAAGTCGCCAAACTTTGATAGCTATTTTCATGCTTATTTTACCTCAGACATCGGGTGACTCCCACCCCTTTCTATTGTAGATATCTCGACTTTTTGTTCAAGATGTGAAAAAAAGTGTGGGGGTATACACATCTCTTGTCATGGGATATACCTGTGGGTCCCGTAGTATCTTTTTTCCAATCCTACTCCATTTGTGAGGCAACGTGGTGAAATCAGATGCTCGTCAATAGAATCAAAGGGAAGAAACTGGCATTTTCCTGCAGGCTTGTGGATTTTTATCAAATTTTTGTTTTTTGGTTCAACACCGTTCACACCTATTTAAGAACACATTTCTGTGTAGATTTTACTGAAAAACGTTGATTATAGGCACAAAAAAATGTAAATTTTCCACATACTCTCAAACTAAGGAAATAACTAATCTTTGGCGGCCATTTTCTCACTAATTTTACCTCTGAGATCAGGTGACTCCACCTGTTTCATTTGCCAATACATGGACTTGTATTCAAGATAAACTGATTTTTTTTTTCATTTAAGATGATGCCAATAACTCGACATGCCAAAAAATTGACGAGAGCCTGATTCCACGCCATCGTGGCCCATTTGTATGTTGTTTTCATGTTGTAAGATGCCCCCAGTTGGTCTTATTTCTTCTCTTTCCATCTTTTGTTTCTGTCTTGCCTTGTGCTGCGTTCAGTGACCATTATTAGATCAGTGTGCTTCTCTAAACTCAAACAAACAAACAAACTAAAAAACAAACAGATTTTTACCATCTTTATTTCTATTCCTTCTTTTTTTTTGTACGTTACTCTATATTTCTTTCCCCGTCGTTTTATGCAAGAAAAATTCTGAAATTATGCAAACTGAGCCCAAAAATGTGAAGTTATGCTATTCTGTTAATTTTTTCAAAGAATGATAAAGGAAAATAATCAGAAATTATGCAAATAATGATCCAATTTTTCTAAATTATGCGGGGGTGCGTAAGTCCATGGGGACAGATATTTAGTAAAACCTCTGATCTTTGGAATATTTTTTTACCTGTTTGTGTCGCAAATGCTGTAAAACTCTTACTAAAATGAAACTAAAGCTAAACAAACAAACAAACAATCAAACAAGCCATCAATCAAACAATCAAACAAACAATCAAACAAAGTCCAGTTATCTTTTCCCACGTGTGTCATTGACTTTGCGTGTGACCTGCTTCATTTGCTCATGACACCAGCGGTGGAGGACTGACCACATCTGCAGGCAGTGAGCTCACAGACCTAATCGGGGAGGTGCTGGCAGAGGAGGGCGTTGACCTCCAGACGGCCGGTTTCTCCCAGGAGATAGCAGAGCAGTTAGAGAAAGACGCCAGGGAGCAGATGCAGAGGGATGGGTGAGAAAGTTTGTTTGTTTGTTTGTTTTTTTAATGACCAGACGCTGCTAGTTCAGTTAAATTAGATATAGTGTTCCTGTTTGTTTAACTGTTGGATGATCCTGTTTAAATGTAAAGATTGTTTTTCTCTCTTTTTTTCTTTTTTTTTTCTTTCTCTTTTTTCTCTATATCTCTTTTAATTCTTTTTCTCGTTTAAAAAAAATCTCAGTCCACCCCGTCTCCTCTTTCTCTTTCTCTTTCTCTCCCACTCTCCCTGTGTCTCTGCATCTTTCTTTATCTCTCATTTTCTCTTTCTCTCTATCTTGAAGAAGACTGGGTGGAATCCATACACGTAGGCCTGATCTTTGCTATGGGTCAAGTTCCATTATTTTCAAGTGAATTCATAACTAACTTACCATAGATATGTTTTTGTGGAGATTTGTTTGTACCTTTATTATGCCCCTGCTGTGTGTTTATGGGTGGTTGGTGGGTGCTCTGATGTGGTTTGTTCCTCCTTTCCTGTGAAACATCTATCGTTCTTATCTCTCCTCCTTTTTTATGTTTGTTACTGTCTTGTAACATCTCTAATCTTCAGCACTTTTATGACCTAATTGCATTGCAAGTTCCATAAAATGCCTACTAGAATATTACTCCTATGTGTTTGTTTTTTTGTGAAGGATGTGTGTTTAGTTGTTTGTTTGTGTGTGTGTGTGTGTGTGTGTGTGTGTGTGTGTGTGTGTGTGTGGTGCATGCGCGTATATGTGTGCATGTGCGTGTATGTGTGTTTTGTATGGTGGTTGGTTGGCGGAGGCTTGGTTGTGGTTTGCTCCTTCTTTTGCTCCTTTTCTGCAACCTTTTTGTGATTTTTCTCTTTAACGAAAACTCAAACTCCTTCACCAGAAAATACGGCAAGGTGACTCCCCGCGAGAAACTCCTCAGTGTGAAGAAGGCGGATGAGCAGCTGAGGAAGAGGACGTCTGCGGAGAGGGAGGAGCTGAAACAGTGGATGACGGAGAAGTTCCATCAGAGGCACGAGGAGTACAGGAAGAGGAGGACGGAGATGATAGAGAGAGAGCCCAAGCCTTTTAAGTCTCAGGCGGTGGTAAGGACTTGTTATGCTTGTGTGTGTCAAAGTTTCAGGCGGTGTAAGGTTTTGTCGTAATGGTGTTTCTGTTTTAAGGAGAAAGAAGAGATGGGGAGGAGAAAAAAGAACAATTATAATAGTGAGAAAGTACACGTCTTTCAAGTATCAACCAGTGGTAAGGACTTGTCGTGTTTGTATGTCAGAGGCTCAGGAGGTGGTAAGGAATCGATCGTTATATGTATGTCAGGATAGGAGAGACAGAAGAGGAGAAGAAGGAGAAAAAAGGAGAATTAAAGTACTTAGAAAGTACAAGCCTTTCAAGTCTCAGGGGGTGGTAAAAAATCATTATATGTATGTCAGTTTCAAGGAAAAAGAAGAGGAGGAGGATGAGAAAAAAAGGAGAATTTAAGTGCTGAGGAAGTACAAGCCTTTCAAGTCTCAGGAGGTTGTAAGGAATCATATTTATGTCAGCATGACAAGGAAAGTAAACAGGGTAAAAGATCTAGAGAAAGACCTCGTGGAACCTGGAGAAGAGTAACGGAAATGGATGTACAAAAAAATGGGAAGACATGGATGAGTGACATCAAGCGACTAGCCCAGGATAGGGAAAGGTGGAAAGTGTTTGTTCGTGGCCTATATCCTGATTCAGGGTGAGAAAGGCTATAATGATGATGATGAGGTTAGTGGAGAAAGAAGAAGAGGAGGAGGGGGAGAAAAAAAGGAGAATTTAAGTACTGAGGAAGTACAAGCCTTTCAAGTCTTAGGAGGCTGTAAGAAATCCTTATATGTATGTCAGGTTAGTGGAGAAAGAAGAGGTGGAGGAGAAAAAGAAGAATGAACATACTTAACGTGTCTTGGGGGCTGGTAAAGAATCATTGCAAGTTTGTCAGATTAGCAGAGAGAGAAGAAAAGGAGAGGGAAAAGAAGAATGAAAGAGATGAGAATGATTAGATAGTGTCTGCATTGTATTCTTCTACTGCAGATGCTCATTTACTCTTCGTCTATGATTCACTCAGTCATTCTTTCATTTTCTTATATTTGATTGATTTTTTATTTTGTTTTGTGTATAGTCTAATCATTTGTTTGTCTATTTATTTGTTATTTGTTGTATTCTCTTTTAATCCTTCATTGACATGATAAGTCTTGTTAGATTGTTAAAAAGTGTAGCTTGCATTTTTTGCTCTAGGATATTTGGGATTATTGGTCCTCCTACAAGGCGGATCTGTAGGTTATTTTGTTGGTCTTACTTTTGGCTCGTCCATTTTGTGTGTGTTTCTGGTGTCTTACTTGGACATACAATATTATGTTCTTCTCACACACCTGTCAATGAGCGAATAGCTTGTATTGATGATGGTATGAGTCAATTTTATACCTGAAAAAGAGGATGATAAGAATAATGATAATAGTAATAGAAATACTACTAATAATAATAATAATCATAACAAGAAGAAGAAGAAGAAGAAGAAGAAGAAGAAGAAGAAGAAGAAGAAGAAGAAAAAGAAAAAGAAGAAGAAGAAGAAGAATGATAATAATAATAATAGTAAAAATAGTAGTAATAATAATAATGATAATAAATATAGCATTTGTATGAACATGAGTGAGTGCAAGCATACTATGTGTGTGTGTGCACATTTGTGTGTGTATGTGTGTGTATGTGTATGTGTGTACTCGGTGAACGCCAAACCAGTGTGCCAAGATCTGGACAATAAAGATGTATTTTATCTTATCTTATCTTAAATCTCTTTGTGTCTTTTTCTCTCTCAGGTGTATAAGCTGAACCTGAAGTGTCTTGTGTCTTTTCCTCTCTCAGATGTATTAGCTGAACCTGAAGTCTCTTGTGTCTTTTCCTCTCTTAGGTGTCTTTTCCTCTTTCAGATGTATTAGCTAAACCTGAAGTCTCTTGTGTCTTTTCCTCTCTCAGGTGTCTTTTCCTCTCAGGTGTCTTTTCCTCTCTCAGGTGTCTAAGCAGAACCTGAAGTGTCTTGTGTCTTTTTCTCTCTCAGGTGTCTTTTCCTCTCTCAGGTGTCTAAGCTGAACCTAAAGTGTCTTGTTTCTTTTTCTCTCTGGTGTATAAGCTGAGCCTGAAGTCTGTTGTGTCTTTTCCTCTCTCAGGTGTCTACACTGAACCTAAAGAACATGGAAGAGGAGATCCACCAGCGGCGGAAGGACATGATGTCTGAGTTCATGGACCAGCGGCTGATGGAGGCTGAGCACCTCATGGGCGACATCCTGGTGGACAAACCCGCGCTGCCATGGGATGGAGGCGAGATGTACTCAGCTCGCTCGCCGTCCAGGTCACCAAGACGTGCAGAACACTCGCCCAAAGTGAGGAAGACTTCACCTTCTCGTGCTGGAAGGGGCCGGAGCCCAAGATCGCCCACCAGGAAGCCGATAAGCCCCAGTACCTGGTCGCGGAAACCATCGTCTCTTAGCAGATGTAAGTTGGGCAGAAAGTACTGTTGGAAATGTCTTAAGACGGCCACCCATTGTTGAGGAGTAAAGTGTCTGTCTTAGACAGGTGGACGTCTTACACAAATGATCTGCCGTAAGCTGACAAAACGCCTGTTTTTCTTCTCAGCAGTTTCGAGAAAAAGAGTTTTTTTGTCAGTGTAACCATTTAAAAATAAAGTGATTTTGAAATTGAACTTTTAAGTTATTAAAAAACCACAGTTTCATTTTGATTTTTTTCACACAAGTAGGGTAACTGATCAGGTCGGAACTGCTGTCCGGTGAGCCGCTGACGTCAGCAGCTCAGCGCATTTCTTTACGACGACTTTGACGTGAAATTACTTTTTGGCAATTGCCGAAAACAGGTCCCTTTTTCCAGAAGTTCATTCATTAGATGAAGAACTATTAAAATAGGTTTACATGTTTTGATTTAATGACCCATGTAATGACATTTTTGTCATTTTTAGATTTAGTGCCAAAAAAGCCCACCCGGCGTAGTGGGTTCTCCTCCCCCCCCCCCCCCCTCAGGGATAAAGAGTAAAAGTGTCTGCCAACCACTTATTGAGTTATGCTAGAGAATTGAGACAGAAAATGAGAAAGATTGAAATCCGGATAGGAAATAGGCTGACAGATGAGAGAAGATGAGGAGAATTAATATTTATCTTTAACTTTTTATGAAATTAATTTCTTGTTTCTTCTTACATTCTTTACATGAGATGTGATTGGATGTGTGATGAAGGGACGGATTTGGTCTTGCATTGTTTCAGTCCCTCTAGAATCTGTTTTAATCTTGTATTACCAATGCAAAACGTGACAATCACTACTGATGCACCCTTTTTTAAGTATAATAAGCAAAGTCATAGTATAATATTCTGTTCTGAAGATGTGTTAGTCATCGTCAGAAATTGATGGACAAACTATTGTTCTTTCAATTTTTTTCTCATTCATTTTATTTCCTGGCTACAAGCACATTCAATCACAATCCTCACCTCAATACTTTGACTGTAATCTCAGCCCCCCAAAGACCAATGACAGGCCCAGAGAGCTCCCCAATCAAGGGCATCCTAAAGACGACAACGACAACAAGCACGGCTCATCGAGACCCCCAGACGGATGGGTTCAGCCTTTCCCGACCAATGTCCTCCCTCAGCGAGGGCGACAGGACCCTAGACTCCAGCGCTGACATTGTCAACTATGCCAGGGCTATTCTGGACATGGACTACAGTGCCTCCCCTGTGCACTCTATGGAGAGGTGCTGTGCTCATTGTTTGTCTAAACCATTAATGCGCGTTCTTGTGACCTTATGCAGTTGCAAGCTCTGTAAAACTCTTTCCAAAATTTTAAGACATCCATTTTCTTAATTAGAGCATTGGTCTAAATCACACATTGAAAAGGCCTCTGTATCTTCAGCAAGCACAAATCAGATGTTAGTAATGAGATTGTAACAAGTATAGAACTTTTCAAAGATAATAGAGGAAAAAAACGGTAATAAAGAATGAAATAAATGGACCACCAATACTTAAAGCAGAAGTACAAGCTGGCGTAAGGAGAATGAAACAAGGAAAAGTCACAGGGTCAGATAATATTCCAATTAAAGTGATTGTGGCGCTTGAAGAACTAGGCACTGAAATAACAACAAAGCTCTTAAATTCTATTTATGACAGCGGTGAGATCCCAGAAGATAAGATGAAGTCAGTTTTTATAGCTTTACCTAAAACGCCAGGTGCCACTGAGTGTGGTATGCATATAACGATTAGCCTTATAAGTCATTTTACAAAAATCTTGCTTCGAGTACTAATGGGAAGATTGAGAAAATGTTTAAGACCTGAGGTTTCTAAAATACAATCAGGCTTTGTTCCTGACAAGGGCACCAGAAATGCTATATTCACCATAACAATGTTAGTGGAAAGATGTATTGAAGCACAGAAAGATCTGTGTGTATGCTTCATAGATTATTCAAAGGCGTTCGATAAAGTTAGACTTGATGAGCTATTTAAAATACTGGAAAAGCTAGACATAAATAGAAAAGATCTAAGAATTTTCAGGAATTTGTACTGGGACCAAAACGCTGCTGTACCAATTAATGGAGAATACAGTGAATATAAGTAGATTAGAAGAGGAGTGAAGCAAGGATGTGTTCTATCACCAGACCTTTTTAACATATACAGTGAAACAATCCTTAGAAACATAGAAGAATGTCCAGGTCTCAAAGTGAATGGCGAAAATATTAACATCAGATATGCCGATGACACAGTTTTAATAGCAGACTCAGAAAAGGACCTTCAATTGCTTCTAGATACTGTTGTAACAGAAAGTGAACGTAAAGGATTATTGTTGAATGTAAAGAAAAAAGAATGCATGGTGATGTCCAAAAACAGCAAATACTATTTGTAATCTCGTAATCTCATTAGCAAATTTGAAAAGATCAAACAAGTTCAACAGTTTAAATATCTTGGATATATAATAACATCTGATGCCAAATGTTTCACAGAAATAAAACGGAAAATTGCAATGGCTAAGGCTAGTTTCAATAAAATGAGCTCAATCCCGAAAAATAGAAACATCTCAATGACTATCAAAATGAAAGTTCTGAAATCTGAAATGTTATGTATGGTCAACCCTTCTAAATGGCTGTGAATTCTGGACAATTACTAAAGACTGTGAAAATAAAATAGAAGCAACAGAAATGTGGTTTCTTAGGAGACTGCTGAGAATATCGTGGAAGGAAAAGAAATCAAATGTGGTAGTTCTTGATGAAGCCCACGTGGGACGCTCACTGTTAAAGACATCAGGAAATGATTAATGCAGTTTTTGGGACACCTGAATAGACATAAAGGTCTTGAACATCTAGCTCTGTCTGTCAAAATTGAAGGCAAACGAGACAGGGGTAGTCCCAGAGAAACCTACATAGGGAACCTAAACAAATGGGTAATGGGAAAGATAAGGGAAACGTAGCTTTTTTTAAGAGCATCCGAGCAAAGGAATGAATGGAGAACCATGACCGCCGATGTCTGTCACAGATCTGGCACTGGATGATGATCATAAAGGAGATTGTAGTATATCTTTGAGGTTTACTAGTGTGCAGCTTCGCTTAAAGTGCTCTCATTGATGAATAGCATTTTTTCAATTTTCTTGATTTTTTCACCAGATCACAAGAGCCCAGACGAAGACCCCAACCAGCACCCTCCCGACAGGAACCACCTCAAAAGACGCAAGGAAAAGCCCCAAAAACAAAGGCTCTCTCACAGATGGTCAGACTGCAGAGGCCAGAGGTCACTCGCAAGTGGAAAGAGGTGAGTTGTATAGGCCCTACCAGTCATGATTGGAATGCTTATGAGTTTCTTTTGTAGGTCCTGACTTCTAGTGTAGTTACTCATTTGTTGTGTTTATTCTTACAAATTTTACAATTGTCATAGGTTGTTGGAGAGTACCTCAAGACAGATCCTACTTTTTTCCCCCTCGCCTTCAGTTGTTTTTTCTGATAATATTGTCATATCAGTATGTTCCTCTTTACACATACTAAATGAGCAAAGTTATCCTCTAACAAATGGATTCATTTATCCAGTGCCAGATCTGCGACAGACATCAGTGATCATGGTTCTCCATTCATTCCTTTGCTCCTCTGCTGTTAAAAAAGCTATGTTTCCCTGCTCTCTCCCCATTACCCATTTGTTGAGGTTCCTTAGACAAATTAATACTGTATGTAAATGTTTATGAGCTTTTTGGACTGCTTCCTCATTGTTCTGTTTTGTCAGGCTCACAAGCTTGAATGTGCATATACACTCACATGATGCAAACTTTAGGCCATTCCCAAAGGGGGACATTAACATGTTCAGTAGAATTTTGTAAATGAGCTGATTCATAAATGTCATGCTCATAAGTGCTTGAACTGCAACAGGGAACTGCTGCTTTTCTTTCCTAATCCTTACTATTGTCATTTTCCTCTACTTCTTTTGCATGTTTGTCACACTCTTGTGACCCGCTATTTCCGGGGTGCCTTGATAGTCGAAGCAGACTTTGTGCTGTTGAGGCTAGAGAGGTGAGCAGAGTAAGCCTGATTCCTTGTAAGGACTTCTCTGTTGACATCCATTCCTTGGCACTCATAATATGACCTTATGCAGTTGTGAGCGCCGTAAAACCTGTACTGCTCATAAAACTAAAAAACTAAAAAAACTACCGACTCCTCCTCACAGGTCAATCGACAACGTCAGCTGCAGGAGGAGGAGGAGAGACTGACAGCTCGACAGGAGCAGTATGAGAAGCAGTCATCGACCTTTGACCCCAATCTACAGAAGGAGAAGCAAAAAGACTATGGTAATGTGCTCCAAAGTTGGTGTAGGCTGATTTATCAGTTAGTGACCAGGCTGCACCTATGACTTGAATAGACTCTCTCTCTCTCTCTCTCTCTCTCTCTCTCTCTCTCTCTCTCTCTCTCTCTAAACTATTTTCTTGGTCTTTTTCTGTTCTTCTAACCCACAGGATTTCAGGTCAGTGCTTTTCTGGTTATACTTGTCATCAACTTTTGAACACCTGTGTTGTAGATATTGCATGACTTCGCACAAGGAAGATGTGGGCTCAATTCCTGAGGGAGGATTTTTATAAAATGATGTATCTTCATCTGTCTGTTGGGAAAATGCTCTCTCTCTTTCTCTCCCTCTCTCTCCCTCTCTCTCCCTCTCTCTCTCCTTTTTGGCGCTGTGGCATCATAAGTGGTCAGCGATAACAACAGCATGCAGGAACTCAATACTCGCTCCTGGTCCTTGAAAAGTACTGAGCGTCTATCTCTCTCAGTGTGGTTTGACCCTGACAGCGAGGGTGAAAGCAACCGGCTTCCTAAATGATGTTAATTGGGTGGTTTCGGACGTGAAATATCTACAATTACCTTCTGTTTCTGCCGTAACAACTGTATTATTTTATTTACAACGTGGCTAAAGCTGACCGACCGAAACGTTGATTACTTTCACAGGCACGAAGCAGATCCCAGGCTCTAGCCCCAGGCAGACAGTGCCTCGTCGTGTGAAGACGTACACGGAGAGACTGCAGGAAATGAAACCACGCCAGAAGTCTTTTGTCCCTGTCGCGACAAGGCCAAGTTCTGGTCAGCATTTTCTTTTGCCTCTGGTCTTTTTACGTGGAAGAATGAGAAAGACATTTATCTGTCTATCATCCATCTGTCTGTCTGCCTATCTGTCTGTCTTTCTGTCTGGACATCCGTTTGTCTGCCTGTTCATCTATCCATCTGTCCATCCATTCATCTGTCCATCCATCCATCCATCCATATATAATGCCTGTGCACCTATTGGTCTGCTGTTTGTCTGTCTGTTTGAAGAATTCAAATGTACGATCAAGTTAAAGCGAAAGTGTGGTCTTTTCAGTAGTGCCTTGTGTCTCCATGAACAAAAACCCCGATGTTCTGGTTGATGTTTTCCTTGGGGTTTGTCTGCTATAATGTTTGTTCTCTCACCTGGAACTCTGGGTGATGTTGGTGCATCAAGGTGAAAAGTGTCATTAAACTTAACTTGAACACTTAAAAAAAATTAATTTGTGTCTGTAATTGATCTTTTTTTTTTCTCATCAACAAATGGCTGTAATAGACTTTCCCTGCCTTGCCTTTAATCTGCCTTTGGACCACAGGCTATTGTGAGCTTACTGGTGGGTGGTTGGAGGGTGAATTTAATTGGCATTGCTTCTTTCTCATGTGTTATTTTCTTCCCCGCTGCCTGTCTTTGTCACAGTGCTTGAAAAACATTTTGGGAAGAAAACTTTTTGTTTTCCGGATGGTATTTCTGGAAAAATCATACTTTTTCATTTGTATTTTCAGTAGTTCCTAATAATCTCTTTTCACATGTATTTTCATTTTTTAAATGATCTATTTTCATTGTATTTAATTTCATAATGAGTTATTTCCTTTTGTATTTTCATTTTTTCATTTTGATGTATTTTCATTGTTCTATAATGATATATTTTCTTTTGCATTTGATTTTTTAAAATGAGTTCTTTTGAATGACATTTTTATCATTTTTCGGCAAAGATTTATTTTCTTTTGTATTTTCATGTACCCTCAGTGCGGACTGGGTCGTCAGCGACAGTGCGGTCAACTGGTCGGGTGCGTCCCCCCCATAGACCACAGACCTACGTGGAGCAGCTTCAGAACATCAGCTCCCGAGCTTCCGCTTCTGCAAGATGTGAGTTCTTTTTGTTTTCATGTTTCTGGTTTACTATTTTGTTTCTCTTCAACAATTTTGTTTTGTTCTACAAATTGTTAGCACTTAATTAAGTATATGTATATATATACCTGGTTATCGAATAGTGCAAAATTGATGTAAAATCTAGAAGAAATGAAAGGGGAAAAAGTCACAAATATTTGATGTTTAGTTCTTAGGGTCTTGGCTGAAGGGCTAGAACCCAAATGGCCGCTGGATCGGAAAAGTAAAGTAAAGTAGGGTCTTTTACAGGTGGTGTCACATTTTGGGCTATTCCTTCCTGAAATAACAGAAAATATCATAATGTGATGTTTCAATGTAAAGGAATATGTTATAGACCTATATATATAAATGAAGCTGGTTTGAATCTTCCACCTAAAGAAAAAGCTGTTGAAAACATTTAAACTTCTGGCAATATGTGAACACATGTAAGGGAAAATGTCTCAAGCAACACAAAGATTGACACATTCAAATGGTTAGCAAGTAGAGAAATCAGTGTTTATTTTCATTTGACAAGCCTGGTGAGAAGAAGAATTGTCTTTTTCTTTATAAAAAGTAGAAAGAAATAAGTTGATGTTACCTTCATATGGCTAGAGCAGTGAATAGAAAATGTATTTTGTTCTTGATAACAAGTTGAGAGAAAGGAAGTGATGTTTATTCTTGCATCTTTTCTGTATGAGTTGGAATTTTAAATGTTGTTAATATGTATGTCATTTATGATTTATACCGTTGCCATGGAGGTCGCCTCTATAAAAAAATGTGTGTTTTATGTGACATGGGCCAATGGCGTTAAGTACTGAACAAACACTCACACACTTTCTTTATGTGTTGCCTGTAGCTACAGCTCGTAGGAAGGCGGCCCCTGTTCTAAAGCGAACGTTCCTGCGCTCCCACGGACCGATCCACAAACCAAAGACGTACACAGAGCAGCTGCAAGAACTGAACCCTCACCCGCAGACACAGCCAGTGGCCAGAGGGAGGGCACGCATGCAGGGAACAGGTGGGGGCATCGTGTGTCTGATACAGTTCCAGAATGATAAACAGTAACGATGATGATAATGGTGATACTGCTACGACTACTTCTGCTACTACTACTACCATTACTACTACTACTACTACTACTACTACTACTACTACTACTACTACTACTACTACTACAACTACTACGACTACTACAACTACTACTACTACTACTACTACTGCTACTACTACTACTACTGCTACTGCTACTACTACTACTGCTACCACGATGACTACTATGACTAGGACTATGACTACATCCATGACGATGATGGTGATAATGGTGATGCTGATGATGATGATTATGGTGATGATGATGATTAAAGTAATGATGATGATGATGATGATGATGATGATGATGATGATGATGATGATGATGATGATAATAATAATAATGATGATGATAATAACAGTGAAGTTAATAAAAATAATAAAGATGATAACAGAATAATGATCATTTTAGAATAGTGGTGATAATAATGAAAGACACTGGTCCTCTGGGATAATAACCCACCCATGTTAGTAATTAATCATGAGTTTGTGATAATACTATATTTCACTTATATAGCACATTTTCACTGAGAAAATGCTTGATGCACATTACAATGTATGCTGCTGAAATGCAAAATTTTCCTTGGAGGGGAAAGTAAAACTGTTTTTTTTCTTTCTGTTATCTGTCTCCATCTTCAGTAACTGTGAGCAGCTCAGCATCTCGTACCCAAGCGAGGTCGCGACCTTACTCTGACCCCTATGCGGATATGGATTACGAGGAGCTGGCCTCCGTCTTGAGTGACTGGGACATGGATGAGAACGTCCGCAACATCATCTATGGTGGATCCACTGTTGCCAGTTCTGTAGGATTTATGGTGAGCTCGTGGATATTTGTTTTCCATTTTTGTATGGATTGTGGTCGGTTGGTGGGTGCATCGGTTGGGTTTGCTACCTCTTTTCTGCCGAAGGCCTCTCTTCCTTGTCTCATCTCCTTATTGCCTTTGTGTGTTACTCTGTAGTACGTTTCTCTTTTAATCTTTAGAGCTTGTATGACCTAATTGTGCTGAAAGTGCCGGTGTCTTGATTTCCCATC